TAGCAGAGGGGAGGACTGTTGAAAGTTGTTTTTGTTTTTTGTTTTTTTTCTACTTTTTTTTTTTGTTTTTTTTTTTGTTGTTGAAAGGTTGGGAGTTCTAGGGACATTGGCGAAGGAACCACTTTGGCGAAGGAACCACTTTCGAAAATACCGTCTTTACCCGAATAGAACGCCCCGTCATTATAGCTGTATTTGGCACAACTTTGAGTCCGGATGCAGCGATAATGACATGGCGTTCTATCCGGGTGAAGACGGTAGCAAACTTCTGGGGTATTTTTTTTTTTTTTGGAGGAACACAAAATTCATTATCAAGTTGAACAGAGGCAGGGAATCCTCACTAAGAACCCGGTACAGACTTCTGGGGCCTTTACCCAGAATAGGCTGTGCTGGAAACCGGGTCCAGCGTCCCAAAAGCGAAGTTTTTTTCCCGTCGTCATTTCTCTGACAACTAGCAATTCTTTTTTATTATTATTATTATGTTTTTTAAACTAGCAGATGTTTTCCCAGCTTCATTTTCGAAAGGCTGTGTGGCGATCCGAAACTATCCAAAACTGCATTTCGTGCAAAACGAGAGTGAACCTTCCGCTGCAACATGGAAAGATACACCGCCATGACTTTTGTCTTTTGTGCATGTCGAGAGTAGTGGAGTGACGGCCATTGCCGGCACAGACCTCCTGCCTCCTGAACAATGGTCTCTCTCTCTCTCTCTCTCTCTCTCTCTCTCTCTCTCTCTCTCTCTCTCTCTCTCTCTCTCTGTGTGTGTGTGTCTGTGTGTCTGACACAGTAGGATCAATATAACGGTCCTCCCAGACTTAACCGTCGACCTGTCAACCAAAAGACAGAACAACGGGGAGACGGGGGACACTTGAAAAGAGGTGGACAGAGGAGTCGGGCGGGAGGGGGGGGGTGCAGAGGGGCAAGGTTTTAGTTAATGGGCGGGTTAGGAAGGAGCCCAAACGCGAGCTGTCCCTCGATCGTGCCGACAAGGTCGATTTTTTTCTCCTTTTTTTTTTTTTTTTTTTTTTCAAACATCTGCGGGAGCCTACTATTGGAGGTGATACCATCATCCCCCAATATTAGGACCCAGGTTATAGCATCTTTGTTAACTGACTTGTTGTTTGCTTGTTTGTTTCTGGATGAGACTTTTACACACTTGGACATAATTTAATTTGGTGCCATTTTTAACGGACACAGCATCTTTCGTGTCATCCTTGAAAGCGCAGGGGCCGTCCTAATCTTCTCTCTCTGTATCGGTCCAATTTTACCGCATGTCAACTTCGCCAACTGACCCTATCCATTGACTTCCTCCTCCTCCTCCTCCTCCTCCTCATCATCATCATCATCATCATCTTTCTCAACAGGAGCAGCATTCTGCTCGTCATGTCCACCATCCTCCTCCTCTCCCTCTTGTCTTCCAATCACCATCTTCCAATCACCATCCACTTGTCATCAGGAGCATCGCAATCCCATCGCCATAGGTCTCCTCCTCCTCCTCCTCCTCCTCCTCCTCCTCCTCCGCCTCCTCCGCCTCCTTCCCCCTCTTCATCCGCTCACCCTCATCGCCCACTCTGTCCGCATCCTCCACCTGCCTCCTCATCCCTCTCCTCCCACTCCTGCCCCTCGTTATCCCCCCAACGTCATGCTTTACCATCCCCCGGCCATTCCTTTTCAGACAGCGAGATACTTGGAGACATGCGTACAAGGCGAAAGAGAAAACGCACACTCAGCACGATGATTCCCTTTCAGGAACCCACAAAGCAATGCTGTAGCAGACGATAACATAGCTAGTACAGTCTTCCCGCAAACATGACGCACCCTGACAATGAACGTATACAAGCTAACTTTCCAGTCCGATACAGTCGAAATGAGGGTGTGTTGTGTTCGGGGAAAGACGGTAGTACCTATCACACAGGGTTCAGCGCTGCTGCTGCTGAGTCTGCCTGTGCAACTCCGAGGGCAAAATAAGCTTGTCACAGCCCCTCCCTCGTTTGTTGTCCTCTTCTCCCTCCCTCCCTCTCTGCCTACTACGGTTTACCGGGCAGCTTTGTTTGACTATATATGTACGACACCTAATTCTTTTTTTTTTTTTTTTTTTTGTTGAGTCCTATAAGATTAGTTATCAGCATGACCCTTGCGCGAGGCTGACACAAATAAATCGGGGAATGGTCCCGATAAAAAAAAAAAAAAAAAAAAAAAAAAAAAACGAACGCCCAAGCATACACGATACTGATCGTCGACGGATGAGCAAAATGGACACATGGATTCGCCCGTAAACCCGGACTGGCGGTGTGAAAAACAAACCAGGGAAAAAAAAAAAAAAAAACGTTAAATCGCTCTCATGCAACGTCATACTCTTCACTTGGTATGATTCAATGGGCCTCGCTCCACTACACCAACAGTCTACATGAATCTGACGGTCATTATCGTCCCCGTACATTCAAAATGCTGGACTCCTCCGGACGCACCTGGTCCACATACGCGTCAAAATGCATGTCGTGATGATGACAGTAGATATAGCTAGGCTAACAAGGTGGCCCGGGACCAATTGCCCGGCCGGACCCAAAAAAAAAAAAAAAAAAAAAAAAAAAGCACGTCCTAAGCTAGACTTCATCCAGGGGTGTGGTCCTATTTGTAGTGGGATAGGAGTTTGGCCGATCCAGTGTGACACTGAGTGGCAGCGGCCCGACAGGTTCGTTACGAAATGAATTTCTGGGGTGACAAAACAGGAGAAAGGCAAACAAAAAAACAGAAACAGAGACCTCCCACCTGAAATCAGGGCAAATCAGGGCAGAGTGCTTCCCAGGCATCAGATCACAAATGATCTGATGGTGGTGGTTGCAACAACAGTGCAGAAAGTAACTGCCACATTTTCTGGAATAAACTCAACTTCTGTCAGCAGTGATCCTGACGCCCTCCATATATATACTCCGTGACTGAAGGAGGGCTCCACCCAATGAGATAGATGCACAACAGCAAACAGAATACTGAAAATCTTCTATCCAGTGGGCCTATGGCCGACCCCGCTCTCTTTTGGGGTTGGCCATGCCCCCAAGGGATTGAAAAGATTTTGGCGGGAAGCTTCCTTTGCACTAAGGAGAGGAGGAGGGGAACCAAGATCTCCTTACTTTTTCGGGTAATACATGTAAAATACTGACCGTGGGATCACCAGTACTGCACGGCAAGATTTGCACGGGCATGCCGAGTGTTAAGGAGAGGAGGAGGGGAACCAAGATCTCCCTACTTTTTCGGGTAATACATGTAACATACTGACCGTGGGATCACTCATATGAGTACTGCACGACAGGATTTGGGTCACTCAACTGCCCCACAAACTCTTTTCTATCCTATCCCGTTTCTAGTGGGACCATGGCCCAGATCAAAAATTGTTGTGAGCTCTCGCATAATCTGCTGCAAAAAAAAAAAAAAAAAAAAAAAAAAAAAAAAAAAAAAAACAACGATCGTGCTATAGTTTTTTTTTTTGGTTATACAGGGGGCGTCGAGCCCCTAACCCTTCCGTACCCTTGTGATCCACATCCACACTAGGGCGTCGAGCCCCTAACCCTTGTGATCCACGTCCACACTGTGGACAGTTACATCCATTCAGCCACATGGGCTGGCTCCTACAGTTCATTGACCAACAGGACTGCGCTTCCAGTTTCATAACGGAAAGTTGCCTTCTTTAAAATAATAATAATAAAAATTGCACAAAAAAAAAACACACGAGGCTGACCGCCTTGCCGTCATTCCACTGGACCGTAGGTCACAACAGGTGGTTCAATCACATTAAAAAAAAAAAAAAAAAAACGAAACCAACAACAACTACAACAGCTGCAACAACATACGAAGGGTGAGCGTCTTGCCGTCATTCCACAATGCGGCCTGTTGGTCGCTGCTATCCACATGCTTTTGGGCCTCACCGCACTACTACTCACCAAAGTGACCAAATGCAGGAAATACAAAAATGATGGAGGTGCATTTTTCCATGTTCAAGCGGAAGACTCATTCTCAGTTTGTACGTTGGGTGAGTATTGCCGCGACCGGCCTTTTTGTGGTGATGTTGACTCTCTGGCAGATTGCATAGAGAGATGACGGCCCTCGCCGAGCCACTCACCAAACCTGCAAAATAAGAATGTATCTATAGCTAGAACGTGAACAGATTACACCCGCCATCTTTTTCCCGTTTTCACATTTGGTGCCTGGCTTGGCGAGCCCCCATACTCGATAATCTCTCGTGCAATACCTTTCTCGGCCTTTTGGCTCAGTAAGATCAGGTGCAATGTATCTGTTCTGGTCAGTTTAATATCTGATCCGTGGTCCATAGGGCCACATAAAAAAAATAATAATAAAAAAATATATAAAATGATAAGAAACAATAATAATAATAAAATATCGTGCTCGAATGACGTGAACTGCATCAGCTTTCATGAGTTTCGAACGAACGCTGCCCGCGTCATTGACTGGGAGGATGCCTACCGTGTTCCCCCGAACACAACGCAGACGCTCATTTTGGCTCCACCGGACCGGAAAGATGGCTTGTATACATTCATTATCAGGTCAGGGTGCGTTGTGTTCGGGGGAAGAGGCTTTCATGGGTTTCGAACTCTGCCCACGTCATTGATTGGGAGGATTCCTAGCGTGTTCCCCCGAACACAACGGGAACACAACCCAGACGCTCATTTTGGCTGCACCGGACCGGAAAGATGGCTTGTATACATTCATTATCAGGGTGCGTTGTGTTCGGGGGAAGAGGCTTTCATGGGTTTCGAACTCTGCCCACGTCATTGATTGGGAGGAT